GGTCTCCTCACATTGCTTGCCAAGCAGGTCCCCAACTGGGTCCACAGAAGCCCACTGAACATTGTAAGGCTGAGCTTGCCGCTTCATGCTGCTTTTACCCCTCTTCCCCCCATCCGTGATGCGTGTGGTCACCAATCAGAGCGTGAATTTCCATTGAGTCTTAGTCTTGGAAGGGGGTTTGCATTGAGAGGACCCGACCACTTGCCTTGATGTTTCCTAGTAAGTCTATTAACCTTTGATTAGCAACTGAGCATGTTAACCGTTTGCACCAACTAGGATCTTTTTATTTAATAAAAGAGTTTTCATTCATGCTGAAACTCTGATCTTCAGTCCTACGTTTATTCACATTTAAGTATCTGTTATTTTACTGACTTCTCTCACTCTGCGTAAACAGCACAGTGCATAAATTGAGAACTGGAAACTGTGTGGAATGCCAGGGTTTGGCAGAGGGAAGAAATTCTTCTTCTTGCTTAAAAGTAGAAGACTTTCAAGGTATTACCATAGGATTGGTGTGTTCCAGAATCTATTGATAATTTTTCCAGAGGGAAAGTAACCCTGTAAGATCCCTTCTTATGGCTGCAATGTGCAGAAAGTTATGAGACAGCACACTCTGACATCTGTGTAACAGAAAAAGCTCAGCCTAAATTGGTACAAATATGGAATGTAGGAAGAGGCTGGTGGGCCTCTCAGCTCCTAGAGAACCTTCCAAGAGCCTAGAAAAAAATATAGTGAGGGTTTACACCAATGGTCTCTTCTCTCGACTCCTCTTGCCCCATCCCTAAACTTTGACCATAATACATGAGAAAAGAGCCACAGAAATAAAAAGCTCAAAGGGATAAGTTTCAAACTGGAAAACCTTACAGTTCTTAAAGTGTCATCTTATTGAGTAAAATCAAAGGAGAGAGGGAGAGATTAAAGACAAGAAGTTACTTTAGAGCATACCCAGGACTGGAACTTTAGTCCCTGAGCTCTAAGTAAACTTCTCTGCTGTCTCCTGTTTGGTTCTGATTACACTGTGTAAGATAGTGTATGCTTCTGGCTGTTGTGTTTGTTTTATTACCTTGGAATGAGTTGTACTAGCTATCTAGTACAACTGTAACAGAAAAGCCACAAGTCAGTGACTTCAACAAACAGAAATTTGTTTTCTAAAGTTTGGTGGTGGCGGTTATGTGCCATGGAGTTGGTTCCGACTCATAGTGAACCTGTACAGGGTTTCCGAGGCTGTAAATCTTTACGGGAGCAAAAACCCTCATCTTTCTCCCGCGGAACAGCTGGTAGTTTCGAACTGCTGACCTTGTGATTCACAGCCCAATTCGTAACCACTACATTACCAGAGCTCCTTAAGTTTAGGAGGCTAAAAGTCTGAATTCAAGGTGCCACCTCTAAGGGAAGGTTTTATCTCTAAGTTGACTCTCAGTGAAAGGTCCTTGTAGCTTTGGCTTGGTTCGTGGTTGCTTGAAGATCTCCTTGTGGTTTGACATCAGCCTTCCTCACCACTGTTTTATTGCTTAATATTCTTTATATCTTAAAAGACATTGTCTCAAGATACACCCAACACTAACCTTGCCTCATGAGCATAGAAAGACAACCCGTTCCCAAGCGGGATCATAATCACGGATATGTTGTTAAGTGCCGACTTACATAGCGAACCTATGTACAATGAAATGAAACACTGCCAAAGCCTGTGCCATCCTAACAATTATTGTTCGGTTTGAGGCCATTGTTGCTACCACTGTGTCAGTCCGTGTCCTTCGAGATCTTCTTATTTGCTGACCCGCGACGTTTCCAAACTTGATGTTTTTGTTCAGGGACTGGTCCCTCCTAAGAACACATCCAAAGTACACGAGATGAAGTCTTGCCATCTGGCTGTACTTCTTCTAAGACAGGTTGGTTTGTTTGTCTGATAGTCCATAGTGCTTTCAGTATTCTCCTCCAACACCATAATTCAAATGCATGGACGCTTTTACGATCCTCCTTATTTAATCTCCAACTTTGAATTATGTGTGAGGCAATTTAAAGTATCATGGCTTGGGTCAGATGCACTTTACTCTTCAAAGTGACATCTTTGCTCTTTAACATTTTAAACAGGCCTTCTGCAGCAGATTTGCCTAATGCAAATCAGAAATCAGTTGATTTCTTGACCCTGCTTCCATGAGCAGGAACTGTGGATTCCAGCAAAATGAAATTTTGACAGCTTCATTCTTTTTTAATTTATCATGATGTTATTCATTGTTCCAATTGTGAGGATTTTCGTTTTCTTTACACTGAAGTGCAGTCCATACTGAAGGCTGTTGTCTTTGATATTTATCAGTAAGTATTTCAAATCCTCTTCTCTTCCGGAAAGCAAAGTTGTGTCATCTGCCTATTTCAGGTTGCTAATAAGTCTTTCTCCAATTCTGATGCCACATTCTTCTGCAAATAATCCAGTTTCTTGGATTATTTGCTCAGCATACAGATTAAATAAGTATGTTGAAAGGATACAACCTTGAAACACATCTTTCCTGATTTTAAACCATTCGGTGTTCATTTGTTCTGTTCATAGGCCTCTTGATCTATGTACAGATTAAGTGTTCTAGAATACCAGTTCTTCATAATGTTATCCATAGTTTCTTATGATCCACAAAGTCAGTAACCTTTACACGTTCAGTAAAGCACAAGTAAACATCTTACTAGTACTCTCTACTTTCAACCCAAATCCATCTTTTGTCAGCTATGATATTTCTTATTCCATGTCCTTTTCTGAATCCAGCTTGAATTTCTGGAAGCTCCCTTTGGATATAACCATTTTTCAATCATCTTTAGCAAAAGTTTACTTGAAAGTAATATTAATGATACTGTTCAATGATTTCTGTCTTCCATTGGGTCACTTTCTTTGCAATGGGCACATCTATGTACCTTTTCCCATCATTCAGCTGTCTTCCAATTTCTTGGCATAGATGGATCTCCAGCACTATCTCAGTTTGTTGAAACATTTCAACTTGTATTCCATCAATTCCTGAAGCCTTGTTTTTCACCAATAACTTCAGTGCAGTTTGGACTTCTTATTTCGATATCATCAGTTCTTGGTCATATAATACTTGA